TAATTATTGCTGCTGGACGTTGAAAACTAAAAATTCAACTTCCTCAGTAAAAAACTAATAATCCACCAGCCAATATGGCTACAGGACTGGACAAGCTAATAAGGTTTATATTCTATGTTTTAGGATAATAATAAAAATAATAAGAAAAAATATATAAATGTGCTAACTCAGCACAGCCCGAGTTCATAACAAAACAAAACATGTATTCAAACTTACAGCTAAATAAAGTTGGACTTTTTTCAAAAGCTTCTCTCTTTCTCTCTGTTTTTGATGGGAAACTGAGCTTTTGTGACTTTTAAAGTTTGTACTTTAAAAATCAAAATACATAAATTTGTCATAAATGCATCATAAATTAGACGCATTAATTCCCAACGAAATTTATTTTCATAGCCCAAATATATATATAAAAAAGACAATATGAAAAAAAGGATTTATTGTCCTTACCTGTGGTGATATGAGCTTCAAAAAAAAAGTTAATTTAAATAAATAAATAAATAAATAAAGCGACACGTCGATGAGCTCAGCGAACGGTGCCGAAGTTTGGTCTGCTCCAGTGCGCATGCGCCGACTCCGTACTGAGGCTTGTTTGTTCAGCGTCGCGGCGCGTGTCGGGCTGCTCCACCCAGGCTCCGCCCACACAGTTCTGCTGAGGTAGTGGACATGTTTACAGGCTCCTGGAGACCGTGAGGAAGCAGGTCTGTCCTTCATTAGGCTCGTCAGGACTCCGAGGCTTTTATCACGACAGAAGGAGCTGCCAGAACCAGAACCAGAACCAGAACCTCAGACTCGGAGCTACTGTAAAATAAGAGGTTCAGGTGAAAGGTCGGGGCCTACACCTGGATGAGGCTTTTAGCTCGTTGCTATGACAACCCAGGCTGTCCGTCTCACAAACAGTAAAACTGACTAAATGAATTACTGTTTATGTTTTTATTTTATTCATTAAACGTGGTTATAATAATAATAATAATAATAAAAGCAGGCAAACACTTGCACACCTGAACATTCTTAGTTGTATTTACTCTTGTAAAAAAGTAAAAAAAAATAAAAATAAACTAGATAATTAGCATTTTAATGCTGAATGACTTGACTGACATTTGATGAAGAAGTTGAAACTAAATTGTCACAGCTAAAAGAAGTGGATCACAACTTGAAATGTGAGCGTAAAGCTAAAAGTTAAAATGAACTAAATTAAGCTGAAGCTAAAAGCTAACAAAAGGATTAAATGACAATAATACTGCAAGTATGTTGAAGTTTAAAGAATATTCCTGTGGGAATTAGAGATATCGCAATGTTTTTCTATGGGGGATGTTTTCTGTAACTAAAGTTAAATATTCCAAAATGTATAAAAGTTACAAAAACTAAAAGTTATAGCACTCTATTCAGAGTTGAGCCAAACATTTAGATTGGTTAAAATAACTATAAAGGTTTATGCAACACAAATAGCTTGAACTCATATTGCACTGCTTTCTTCTTCTATTATTTTATTATTTTATTTATCTTTTCTAGCAATTTTAGTTTCTGGAGATCTTTCAGGTACCCTCAGCTGGGGGTTTTGTGACCCACATTGTGATCCTAACCACAACGTTGAACACTGGTCTCCAACCTCTGGACCAAAAACCAGTATGGTCAAACAAAGCTGCACAGAAAGATTAAAAACATTTTTCTTATTCACTTCCATTATATTTTACTAAGAAACCTACAAGCTACTGTATTCTAGAACAAAAACCAGTTGAATAAATAAAGAAACAAACAAACAAACAAATAAATAAATAAAAACTATAAAATGTATTTTCCCACCACGGGAAAGCTATTTTCTGTGGAGCTGAAGAATCTTGGGGAGCACTGGTGTAGGTCACTGGGGGACAGATGAACCTTTAAAAAAGCTGTAAAAAGTAAAAATGTCTTTCTTCCAGCATCATGAGTGTTTTGTTGCTTCAGTACAAACCCGCAGACATCTTGTCTTCTGAGGGTTGTGGTTCAGGATCCTGACCCTCACTGGACTCCAGAAAACTTTGTCGTCTCATTCGAGGTCAGTCTGAGGACACCGACCCCACGTCCCATCACCCTCCGAACCTTTAACACCCCCTCCGCCACCATTGAGACCAGCTCAAGCATCCCAGAATGCACCTCTTCCAGTGGGCTGACCCCGGGGTTGGCAGCTGTCAGTCACGGCCTCAGCTGTTTCTGCAGCTTCTGGAGGCTGTGAGGGAGGCCTCAGAGAGGAGCCCCGGCTCTACATATGGGATCATCTCTGTGCATTCATGGTCGAGGTAATTCAATTAGCTCTCCTTCTCCTATTCTAATGCAAACCTCAGGTTTGAACCCCCCCCCCCCCCCCCCCCCCGAGAGGAAAGGCCTCAGGCAGGGACAGCCGGACAAAGAGACAGCCTGCTCATGAAGTGCAGACTTTTAGCAGACTGTTGGTATTCATCAAGATGGTCAGACTTTATTGTCAGATTGTTGTTGGGGCGTTGCTTTTCAACAAGATGACATTTTGATATTGTTCAATAAAGTAATGATGTAGTGTGTGTGTGGAGGGGGGGGGGTAGGGGGGGTATAGAGAGAGGATGTAAGGTGTCACAGGTTGAGGAACAGGATGTAATGAACTTAAAGGTGAAAGCAACTCTTCAGCCGGAGGCTATAGTGAAAGCGCGGGGTCACCTTTATCCACCGTCTGTGCCCAGAGCTGCTGCTGCTGGAGGTGTGGAGGGAGGGGGTGGGGGGTGTGGGGGGGCAGAAACTCTGAACACGCTGAACTGATTTCCTGTGCAGGGTCATGCCCAGGACAGGCCGGTGGGACAGGGTTTGGGGTCGCAGGAAGCACAGACAGGAGACACAGTGTCGTTCACATCAGCATTATCTCTGAACACAGAGTGTCTGTGCGTATTTCATCATGCGTTGGGCTTTTCTTTCATCATGTTGGGATTTAAATGTCTTTTATGTAAAAAAACAACAAAAAAAAAACCAACAACAAAATAAGAAAAATTAAGAATTTTCATGCACTAAAAGGTGTGTTAAAAAAATTTAAGCAAGCCACACATATTTACCCTGTATTTTGATTGATTGATTTATTTATTGCTACAGATAAACACACAATCCGCTTCAGCTTTGACGCAGCCGTCATGTAAATGCCCTGAGGCAGCTCTTCGAAGAACCTGTTCCTTCCTGCCTCGGGCCACAGAGGACGCTCGTCAGGAGAGCTGAGACACTTATTTGGCACGTATGCGACAGAGTGATGAAGCTGTCAAGTAAAGGCCCATGTTCACAGAATAAATGTACAAATCCACATCCTGCCACTCGTAAATGTCATTCAGTTTACATACGGTCACTAATCCTTCCAAAGGGCTTTTCATGTTCATCTATTTAAACGTGTCTTCGTCTGGTTTGTCTAAATGAATATACGTTTTTTTGCTCATTATAATTCAAGTTTTATTATTTTGAAATTAGAAACTGAGAAAAGCAGTCATAAATAACGTATTTTCCTGCAACTTGGAAAGAAAAAGTGGACTCAGATAAAGCTCATGAGGCCTCTCAGGGCAAATGGACCTCATGTTTATACGCTTGTCCATCATCTGAGCCGTGTGCGGACTCCAGTTTCCACAGAGATGGGGAGATGTCCCCAGAACTCTACGGCACCGTGTCTGAAGCCGGTAAGTGCAGCGTGTTTGGATGAGGTATAGATCTGAGATAACGCGTTCGCTTTCAAAAGGCCCGAATGTATTCGGTTTGAAGCTGCAGCAGGAGAACAGAGAAACACAGCTTGCGCTCCGTGCCTCGGGAAGATTACGCGGCTCTGCTTTTGTTTAGAATGTTGTTTTTCAATTTTAGAAGCAAGTCGTGTTATTTCAAATGATAAACAGAAGAAACAAAGAGCTTTGTGAAGAAGGTTGCACAAGTCAAAACTTTCACTGAAAGCTGGGAAACATTGTGATCCAAATATTGTTGTACTGTTTCTGTCACCTAAAATAAATTCTGTCTTTTGACCACGAATGACAATAATATACAATTTACCTGCTCCCATTGACTCACTCAACTTTATATATTTTTGTCAATAATTATCAGTAATATAAAAAAATATGTAAAATTTAAATAGCTGAAATAGAAGTTATCTTTTTAACATTCTAATTCCAATATGTTTTTATTTTTTATTCAAACTCTTTACCATCAAGACTTTGACTGAGACCCAAAGTCATTTTAATTTGTATAATTCTATTTGACTCATTTTCTAGTTTTACACTGTATTTCATGTAAAAGTCCCAGTGAACTGTTTCACAGTAAGTGTAAAATGGAAAACATGGGTAATGGAATTGTTGCCGTAATAAATGTTTCGCAGCGTAGTTGCTCAGAGGAATGTTTGGAGACGTCGTAATAAACAAATAAATAAACAAATAATTAAATACAAATAAATAAATCCAGCTGTTACAATGAAAACACAAACTGAGGTATTGGAACATTTTTGTTACTTTATTGACTTTATAATAAAACATCTTTATGAGGCTCAGTCTTCACTTATTTTCTCAACTAAAGAGGTTATGTTCAGTGTATTTAAATTAATGTGGCAACACGCACATTATTTTCTTTTAAAATGTATTTGTAGTGCTGAAGCTGACAAACATGCCAACCATTAAAGTAACAAAGTCGCAATAAATAAATTAAAATAAATAAATAAAACCATCCTGGCTTAATTTGATCGACTGAATAACACACTGCTATAACAGAACTGTGGCTGTGTGTTACAGGTTTACCCGCCTGTTGCTCCATGTCCTGACCTGCTCATCAGCTCCATAATTGCAGCTGAACGAGGATTAAATGGTTAATTAGGACAGAAACCGCGGCTGATTGAAGTTTTGGAGGATTACTTCAGACACACGCACGCACACACGCACACAAGTATGAGTCCAGGTTTCACGGGTCTTTGTTTCTGATCCCACCCACTTGACATGAACAGCCCTCTCTCCCTCCGGTGTCCACGCGGACAGCGCCCAGTCTCTGCTGTCTCCGCGTCCTGCTGGACCCAGGAACATGGACGCGGACTGCTTGTCTTTTTCTTCGCAGAGCAGCGCGAGGACTTCGTCGAACTCTCCCGGTCTGGAGCACGGTTCGGGCTCGGGTTCTGGTTCCGGATCATTCCTCTCCTGCGAGGAGCTGCAGAAAGCCTCGCACCTTCCTCCCCCTCACCGCCTCGGCCTCCGCGGGGATCTTTACGCAGCGGCCTTGGGCAGGTTCGGCGATGCTGCGGGGGACTTTACGCACGGCTCCGCGCCGCCGAACCCGCCCGGATCTCCGTCCAAACACGGCAAGTTCATCGTGGGTTTGAACCAGGACCGAAAAACGGCGACGAAAACGGTGTTTTATGAAAACAGCACAGAAGGTACGTTTGACAAACCCAAGGAGGCAACATGAGAACAACAGTTTCGTTTGGCCTTTTAGTTTAGTTCAGTTAAAAACGTCACCGATGAAAGAGACCCAGCTGAAAACGCACATCTCTGAAAGGAAAGCGAATCTAACTTTTTCCAAAATCTTGTAAAAACTGTGATCATCAAACACGAGACGTTTCTGCAAACCTTCTTAACCATGAAACAAAAGTGCGATTTTTTTTTCTAAGTAGAGAAAAAGGGTTGTTTTCACCCTGACGGTTTTTAATTAAGACTTAACAAATGATATCAATTATAAATGTGTCAAAAAATCGAAGTAAAATTATAATTTAGCTGTTTCCTTTCCATTCTGCTCGGTTTTAAAACATAATATTCACTTTTAAGATTTACAAACGGATATTTATGGTTAAATTTCCCTTCTATAAAGACGTTTTTTTTACAGCTGTGCGATAAAACAAACCCTGAAGAAAAACCTCGGACTCTGCGCAAAGAAACAGGACATCAGCCCTGAGAAGGCCTTGGTGATCTCACAATATTCAAACGTTTCTTTCAAGCTGAAACCAAAATAGACTCAACAGATTTCCTCCTGTAGTGATTTATGATGATCACATGAAACTTTATATTTTTTTAAAATGAAACTTTATTGAAGAAGAAGACGGAGTTTCCATTCTGTTCCTCTCTGATCCTCATCAGACAGAAACAGCTGACGAGTCTTTTATAATAATAATAATAATAATAATAATAATAATAATTATTATTATTATTATTATTATTATTATATTGAATTTTAGTTTTACCTCATAAAGTTTAATTTGATAAATTCAAAATACAATATTTTTACAATTAAGAAATGTCTTTAGATAATTATTGGCTTGACTTGTAAAAGTTAAACTTACATTTGTTTTCAAATGACCAAAAAAAGAAGAGACAAAGTGATGTAGCTACTTGGTTTAATTTGATAAGTTTTAGCATTTGTTTGTTATATTTGTGGACAGAAATGTTTCAGTCCACAACTTTTTTATTGCATTTTTTGTTGTGTTTCTTCCTTTTCACCACATCAACAGGACATATTTGGGTCCTTGAGGGTCAGAAAAGCCTTTAAATATATATATATATTTTTTCTTATTGGGATTTTTATGTTGTTGAACAATGAGAAAAAAAATACACAACAGCAGGTCTAAATAAAATAAGATAAGACAAGATATAACTTTATTGATCCCGTTGTAAATTGTTGTAAATAATAGCTTCAATATTTTTCTGGGATGTTAAAACATTTCATTATTGCTCAAACTGTAAAACTAAAGCAGGATCTACCTCAACAACCTGAACTTTCAGCAACAACAATTAACTCTTTAAATCAAATTCTTATTAATTAGTAACTCCGTAACCTGCTGTAAATATAGTTTCTATATTTCTGTACTTGAATTCAACCCCACTCTTGATTTACATCAACATTTTCTTTTTTCTGTGACGTGATGTTTTCCTTTTGTTCATTAAATCCTTGGATTTGTAAACTTGTGGCCAAACAATGTGATTTAATCATTTTTTTAAACAGCAGAAGCTCTAAACTTCCTGACATTGTTTAATTATCACTATTTAATTTTAATTTCATAATGGATTCATTTTAAAGCAGGAATCACACAAAAAATGAAGCATTTGAAGGATTTGGAGAGCTGGAACAGTGCTGGTGAAGTGACATGACAAACAAAGTATTTCAACAAATCCTCGACAACAAAAAACTTTTTTCTTACTAATATTTATGGATCGTCTCACATTGAACAATTTTTTCCAGGATCCCTCAGAATGGATGAGAACTCAACGAGCTAAAAGCCGTTCACTGTCCTGAGAACATTTTTATTTTCAGCTGAGCTTGGAGCTGATGGACACGAGGAAATCAGTGCAGCAGTTTCTGTTGGTTCAGCGTTATATTAGGAGGACAGCAAAGCAGCTCAGCTCGCTGCAGTAAACAAGTGTTTGCAGAACGATAATGTGGTTTTGTTCTAGAGTTGGAGGTTAAATGTAATGAATACAGACACAACATCCAAACACTGCAGGAGGGAGCTGCCCTTCCTGCTCTGAGGAAGGAAGCGATGCTTCCAGGTTGCTTTGGGCTCATTGCAACAGCAGAAAAAATGACAAACAAACAACGGGCATGTTCTGCTGAGGGCATGGATATAATATGATTCAGTGCTTTAGAACATTACACAGCAGCTTTTATTCAGATGGAATGATCACTGACTGGTGAAATGGACTTTTTCACCCCCTTTTTTTTTCATTCAACCTTTATTTAGAAAGGTAAATCCCATTGAGCCTCGAGGACTCATTTACAAGAGAGACCTGATTTCAACAAAGAATGATGACAACAATGGACAACAATAAACA